ACCCCGCCCCACCCCGCCCAGTCTGACCGAACCGTTGACAGCGCAGCGGGGCCGCAGCCGCCGCGACGGCCGCGCCGGCCGGCTTCTCCAGATGCAGCGACCGGTTGCACCGCGCGCTTTTGGTTCCGAATGCTGGAGCAACCTCCACGTGTTTTACTGCTAAACTCCTTTCCCCGGCGCCCGCGCCCGCCCCCTCGCTGAGCTTGTTCTGGAGCGCCGCCGCACTTGCTTGTCGGACGGTATGCGGCCCTTCACCTGCTCGGGCGTTCATTCAGCAGCCAGAGCCGACCAACCACCGCTCTTCATTAGCACGTCGAGTCCCACGAGACCACACGTATGGTCACAATAACACGTGATTCCAACCCCCCCTAAAGACTGTCTCTACCAGAGGGAAAAGTCCCCTCGTCCTCTTCCCTCTCTGCATAGCACAGAGTTTTTATTTTTGCAGACGACCCCGTAACGGTCGGCTTTACCCCGCCATACCAGACCAATTCCACCAATTGCAGTATCAGAGCCCGATCGTCTCTCACTCTCCCTACTGACCAACAAATCTGCACAGTTTATATTTGGCACACATACCTTAACTATACAACATGTAAGATAACATCAACATTTTCGTTTCTGAAAGATGTTTCAGCTTCAGCGCCGTCATTTCCGCCCCCTGGAGGCGTGATGCCCGGGTGGCGAGCGAGTACCGCCCAAAATAGCTCGATTTAGACAGCAGTAAGTGGGCCTCCAAGGCCGCGCGGTACACAGAAGTCACCGTCATCCTCTGTTTGCCCCCCCCCCCCCCCCGGTCAGGCAGGCAGAAACCGCGAGAAACGCCGCCTTTATTGACTTGCGTAACCGCCTGGGTGTATTTTCCTTTTGCAGGGCCGGACACAAATCTCGTGTAAAATATAGCCAAGTATTTGAGAGCTTCGATTTAAAAAAAAAAAGGCTTCAATTTTCACTGAACGTCATTTTTTAACTGCAGGATTGTTTCTTAGACTATGGTGAATGCACTCTCCTAGATAGATAACATTTTCCTGATGGGGTCAAACTCTAATCACGATATCGATATCGAATTCCCTCCGAAAAATGGTAATGGTGCGTCAGTTTGTGTACGCCCCCCTGTAAAAAGGCAAACTCTTTCGCGTGTCCCGCCCATCGACCGCCGCCGGTCAGAGGATTGTGTGGTGACCGATGGCGACCACGCTGCTACTTTGCCCCCGTCGCGGTCGCAACCCAAAAGCGACCCCGAGGACCGTGTGTTTACCTATTTAATGACGAATCCCCCATGGGAGGGGGTCATCGCGGTAATAGATCGGAGGCAGGATAATCACACATGTGGTACACCATAGTTGCCAATTTTAGTATATTTTAGATAAGAGACTATACTGACTGACAATTTTGAAAATCACGAAATTCAAAGGTCTAAGGAAGTGGAGTATAAAAATAAGAAGTGCGTGGCGGTAACTGTTGTAGTGCTAAATTTTCAGGAATCGTTTGAGCTATGGTGTTGACCAAATCCATCAAAGAAGTACGCGCACCGAATAAATGTTCTGACTTTAAAAGTTTTTTTTTAACTTCCCAAAATATCTGTGCGCATTTTTGATGAATATGGTCATTCAATTGTTAAAATGAATCCTGACAATTATAAACCACAATTTCGATCGAAACCCTCCTATGAAATTTCACTTCTGTAAGTCAGTATCTTGTGACAAGCTGTTAGGTAAAACACTCGGCATATTTTTTTTTGCTCTACTAAAGAAGGCATGCACTTTGCTAATCTTAGTGTGTAGTAAGTTTGCCAGTTTAAACTGCAGAACTGGAAGTTTTGCCAGTTATAACTGCAGAACTCTTATCTCGGCGCGCTTACCCGACGCGCGCTGGCTAGGCTGCTCTGCCCTCGGCTCTGCCCGACCCGCACTCAGGTAGCGATCACCGTGCGTGCGAGAGAGACAGCTAGTGTCGTCTCTCTCGCCTGCTCGGATGTCGGGCAAGCGCGCGGAGCTTGCCTGACCGATTGCAAACTCTAGAATAGAAACGTGGATTGAACGTCGAATCCACGTCAAAATATTAAAAGGATGTACATTTAGGGCACAAAATGAGGGTTATTCGACTCTTTCGCCGTCAAATTAGCATCAAACATAGAATCGACGCGTTACAGACGAGGCCCCCGTTACAAATGCGGGACGAAACGACATCCTCTCGACGCTGCTTTTGATCGTTTCGACGAGACGTTTCTAACTATGGGGTTAACACAGCGCGGCCTCACCTGCGTGGAAGGTACGTGAAGCTGCGGAGAGACCTGGGTGCCGACTGACGGGCCGGGCCGGCCGGCGTGGCTTTGTAACCGGCTGGACGAGGGTACCCCCCCCC